TATCCAAACAAACTTATTGGTCTATATGATCTTGAAAACGAGAAGAAAAATAAACGAAAGAAGAGAAATTAAAAGAAAACAATCTGGTTAGCTTATACAAGGTGTTATGGGTAACTCTAATTTCTCATATGACATAAAGTGAATAACTATGGGCTCATGGCTTTCGTTCAAAACTAGAATGAGCAATTACGGGAAGGGGATCTTCCCTGCAATACAGGGGCACCGTTTGTTGAGTACAAAGGGTCATTCTCGATGTAGGTTAAAGCTATGTTCACACTCCCGAGCTCCAGTCCAATTCTCAACGCTGTATGTTACTTGGGAACTTTTAGTACCAGTGTCTGAACACAACACTTTTTTGTTCCGGATCTCAGGCACCAGTGTTTGGGCACCAAGTGTGAATACAGTCTACTAAGGCATGTATTTATATCTGGTAACATATCTGTCACAAGTTCTTGTTTGGCCACTGGAGTTGCAATGAATAGTTTTATACCTACAAAGCCGCGCGGGATGAGGGATTTGGATGTTTCAAATTAAGTGTTCGGTTGCTCTAGTTGAACGAGACACTGCCTAATTTTAACAGAACGAGGAATGAGCATAACATAAAACATCTCTGCAATCTTTGCGAGAACTAACACATGGACTCTACTTCGTCCAGATTGATCCAGTACTTGACGTAACAGTTGCGAGACGTGCATGTACATTACAAACGTTGCATAACGCATCACTGTCTCAGCAAAATGGCAAAAACGTTTAGTGTACCATCACCTCTAGTAGACACATTTTTCAGCATTGCTTAAAAAGAGATTTATGGGAATAATTACTTTCACTTTCGATCGATTCCCTTTAGGGCAAAAATATGTGTCGAGTCATACTTGTCTAATTTTCAAGTAATTTTGATAACTATAGATAGGCTAAAAGTCATAGAAAACTTGATTACATGAAGCGCTATTTACCTTGTACAACGTTTGAGTTCTTAAAAATAGTAGAATAGGGAAATCTACCCAGTAAAAGTACTTCCGCCTCAATACTCACCCGTTCTTTTCAGTAGAGCCCTGTAGATATTTGCGTAACCGATTCCAGCGTCGTCTTCGTTGATCGACAGCCGAGATTCGTGTGCATGGACTACAAAAAACGCTATGTCCATCTGTAGTTTGGGAATGATGTTTGTGGTCATCTCAGACATCTGAGCAAGCGAGAAATAGTGCTTCTTCACGACTGGGTCAAAGCCGAGTTTCGCTTTCGTTGCGTTTAACAGAGCTTCGACGGCTTCCAATTTGTAGGTACGGTCACAGTTAAAAAGATGCAGCTCTCGCTGTGGTTGTGACATCGTTTCTGCTTGTAAAATAAATCTTTACGTCCTTTAAGTAGCTTGAAACGCAGTTTTCGATCGCAATTTTCTGAAGAACTGAATTCAAAATGCAACACTGCCTTCGTTGAATCGAAGAGTGACACAACTGCGCAATAATTCCGAGAAAGCCTGTCACTCATCTGCTGAAACTCACGCAATGTCATTGCTATCATGCAACATGATGACCAGATACCAAAACTCAAGTATTACTCCTGAAGCAATAGGTATGTTTTCGAGCGAAATAGGAAAAAGATAAACCCCAAACTGCACAACAGATGGATTAACTCGTCTTTGCGTTGTACACAAGCTGTCACTTTAGTAAAGATCACGTGGGGCGAGATTCCCGGAAAACATGGGATCGAGGGGAAAATTCCCAACTCGCACCATACAAAGGTTTATTTTAATCATTTAACGTCACTTCTTTAGAACAGAACGCCGAGACATCCACTTCTGCAGTGAAGAGGACGAAGACTGTCTAAATCTTCAACATGGGAGTAAGTAGGCCATAAACTTGCCAGATTTTAACAATTTTTTGCCGAATAGTTGTTCAGCTATTTTTGAAGTGTATTTAATTGGCCGGATTTTGTGGCACTTGTAATAGGTTTGCTACTTACTCGTCTATTTCATTTGTAAAGCACAATTTAAGGCTCTTGTCTGGGTGTTTTGCCATCAGTGATGGAAAGCCTTACGTTAGAAGTATTCTGATCAATGCATGGAGATCGTTCTGTCCGTGTGTCAAACAGTTACTTGAACTCAGTGAAACACAACTCCCGTCTTCTCGCTTCCCAGAAACCGAAACGCGTGGCGTCCATGCTGGTTGCAAAATTTTCGGTTTCTTCCAAAAAACC